GCCCAGGTCTCAAGGGCAAAGTTCTTGCTGAACAAACACCGAAACTGCAAACACTGCAGTGGCTCAGCTCTGCTTCCTGTCCCTGCTGGGGTGGCCAGCCGGATGCTGTAGCTGGACTCAAGGGCAGCCCGAGGCAGGGGCACACAGGGAGCAGGCAGCCGGCTGGGCCTGGGCATGCAGGCGCCACGTGCTGCAGATGAGACGGGCTGCGGAGGACACAGCAGAGCTGGCCCCCGTGCAGGAGAAAGAAGTGCACCTTGCTAGCAACAGCTGCTGGACCAACCGTGGCGTGTGCGCCCACAGTCGCCACCACGACTTCCTCCTCACTCTGCCCCCTTCCTGGTCTCTCATGCCTCCCAGGAGCCCAGGCATCGTCCACTCCCATCCTCCCGCCTGGGGTCACATCGTACCGTATCCTTTCCCCCACCCCGTATTCTCCAGCCTGTGGGTGGGCAGCAATCAACCTCCGGCCTGCGGCTGTGGCCAGGGCACCTACCTGCTCTGCCCCTTCCTGCACTGCGCTCTCAGCCATCCACCATGCACTTTCCAGGCCCTCCCTAGGCCACCCGTCACTGTCCCCAGTTCACGCAGCCTCCGATGTCAGCTCCAGCCTCCCTACCTGGGCACTGCACCATCAGACCAGCCTCTCGCTGGGCCCCGGGAAGGGGCTCCTGCTCCTTTCAGTCCCTCCTTACCACTTCCCTCTCAACAGCCTCTGGTCCTGGAAGCCCCGTGGGGCAAAGATCATGCATCTGTGCAGCACCCTGGCCCAGTCATCCCCACAACACCCGGCAGCGGGCTGGTGACCACCAGGCTGGTGAAAGGGGACACTGCCCTTGAGTCCAGCTTCCCCTTTCACTTGCCCGGCTCCTGCTGCTTGCTGGCAGGTGATGGACAGGGCTCCCACGGACATGCACTGGCCAAGTCGTGCCTTAAACTTTGAATTATTCACTGCTGGCTCCGCAGGGACAGGCAACTCCAGGCCTTTTCTTCCATCCCAGCAAGCAGGTGCTCTCCTGGGTGCAGATATGCCCAGCTCAGTGCTCACCTGATGACCACAATCTCTAGCATGGCCCTGCGCCAGGGGACAGAAGGACCGGGGGGCATAGGCTACCCCTAGGACTAAGCGTGTGCCTGGAGGGCGCCTGCTCCCTGTTCTGACCTCAGCAGCAGGAGAGCAAGGTTCATCGTGGAGCATGGGGAGGCCAGCTGGCTCATGGGCATGTCCTATTCGAGCAGCCATAGGCCTTGCCCTGAGACTAGGAACAGGGGCCCAGGCACAGGAGAGCTGGACCCTACCCATGCCAGGAGCCCGAGGGGGTGGTATCCTTTAGAAGTGCAACGTGGGGCAGAGTGGGCAGCAGCGAAGGATGGAGAGGGTGATGAATGGGCACAGCAAACAAAGCCAACAGCCAACCCACTTGTGCTCAGCGCCGTGCCCGGGGTGCTGGAGGGGAGATGCGAGCTGCTTTGCATGGCCAGAGCCTTGCTCCAAACACTGCCAACAGCTCCAGGCAGGAGCGAGGAGGTGCCCAGGCTCCTGCCCCACCCCTTTCTCCTAGTCACGTCCTTCGGCATGGAGGGGCCTGGAGCTAGGGGTCTGGGGTCACCCTCCCAGGACCAGATGGGGGGGTAAGAAGAAAGGGGGCAGCAGCCAAGTGGGGCAGATCCCTCCTGCCGCAGGGGCTGCCCATACCCGCCTCCTTGGCATCCAGGGCCCTGCATGCATAGTAGGGTTTGCTTTCGTACCCCCTATCCTCCCACCGGAAACATGGCTCACGGACCTGTGGTCCTAGCTCCAAATACACCTACCCCAAGCCACTGAGACCCCTGTTGCTCCACTCCCCCTCTTCCATGGGTCATCACTGGCGGGTGTTGGGCTGGCCCCCAGCACCCAGGTTGCATGGGAAGGTGCTGCAGGGGCAACTGAGGAGAAATAAGACCTCTGCCTTATTGCTCACCGCTATTGTCAGGAGCCATCCTTTGCACTGCCTCCCACCCCTCCAGCCTGTCTCCAGCTGCAGCTGCTCTCCCCAGAAGGCCCCTTGGAGTGGGTTGGGGCTCCATGGCACATCGCTGGCACCTGCACGTGGGAGCGTAGCCAGACAGCTCCGACCGATGCCAGCAGCGAGCAGGTGGCACAGGCGAGCAGCCACCTGAGCTGCACCAGTTACTATCATCCGTGTCCCAGCAACCCGCGTACCAAAAGCAGGGGCAGCAAGCAGGGCATGCCAGGCCAGGAAGCCCAGCACCTGCCGCCCTCCACCCAGCAGCCGAGGGGGCGAGCGCACCCAGTCTGCTCTGCAGCCCGGGATGGTTTCAGAAGCACCCACAGCAGCTGCCCAGGGCTGCCAGGATCCCACAGGCTCAACTGGGAGGCGGGCAGGGTCATGCCAGACCCAGGTGGTAGGCCAGGTGCCTGGGCTACGGGGCAGGGACGCATTCCCTGCTCCCAGTGCCCGCCCTGGGGACAGATCCCAACCCTGCGCTGTGCTGTGCTGCCCCCTGCTGGGCAGAGAAGGGAGTCAGGCCCTCGCACACCCTGGCTCACTTCGGGGTGCAGAGCGGAGCTGCAGGATGTGGGGGTGGTGGAGGGTGCCTCCTGGGACACCCAGCTGGGGGGCTGCTCTGGGGGAAGCTGGGCAACACAGGGGCAGGAGATGGCTGGGGAAGAGGGCCCTGGAGGGCTGCAGCACCCGCGCCGGAAAAACCAGTCGGACCAGTCTCCAGGCTGCTGCGGAGGCTGGGGGGATGGAGCAGTCCCTGCTCCCCCCCACACCCAGCCTCAGGTTACAAGCTGCTTTCTGAGCGGGGAAGTGCCCCCTCCCCCTGGGCCCCTGCCAGGATGCATTACTCCAGGCAGGTGAAAGAGGCCAGGGGAGGCCTCTGCACCCAGGCGGGGGAATCCCAGGTCCCAGCCCCACGAGGCCTCTGCTCCCAGGCGGGGGAATCCCAGGTCCCAGCCCCAGCCGGCTCAGGCAGGCAGCAGCCATCCCCCAGGGAGGGGCCCAGCTGGAAGCTTTGCAGCCAGTGCTCATCCAGGCTCCTGGCTTCCTCTCCCAGCTCTCCATGCCCCTGGCAGGGTCATTTCTTCCTGCTGCAATGGGAAAGGTGCCTTTTGCTATCACTGGGGGAATCTCAGCAGGCCACCCCTGCCCCATGCACAACAAACCCATCCCCCAGTCCATTCAGGCAGCAACTCTGGGCCCTGCTCCCAAGGAAGTCTACAGCCCCCATGGACTTCCTGTAGGGACCCAGGCCCCAGGTCCAGGGCTCCGAAGAGGGAGTCCCAGCAAAGGGGCTCTCTCTGCCCCCACAGCTCCAGCTGTTCCCAGCAAAGCCGGAGCAGCCTGGGCCAGCTGTGGCTGCGCAGCCCCCACAGCAGAGGCGAGGTGCTGTCATTATATCAACTCCACTTCCCCCACAATGCTCGTTAGCAAGGCCACAGGCGAGAGCCCAGGCTGGGAGGTGGCAGCAGCACCCAGAGCGAGGCAGCAGCTGAGCTCTGCAGAGATAAGAGCTCTGCAGGTGGCTTGACCTGGCCAGCCTGGCCCCCTGCTCCAAGCCCTTGCAGCACCAGCCATGCCCCAGGGGCACCAGGGAGGGGGTTCAGCTCACCTGTGTTGCTGTACACCCCACCCCCATACCGTGAGGGTACCTGCAACTCCCATGCCCAGCCCAGCGCTGCTGCCCGGGGGGCAGGGGGCAGATTAGGCAGCCCCTGCAGGCACCTGCCCTTGGAGGCTGCTACCAGGGTCACATTGTGCTGCATCTCCTTCCACTGCACCTGGCTGGGCTTAGGCCTCATCTCACCCCCGGGGGGTAGAAAAGAGGGTTATAGCAGATCCAGACTGGAAGACAAGATGCTGGGCCTTGCTGTGGCTCTAGCTCTTTGCTGCACAAGACCTGCCCTAATTATTGCCCCATAGTTAACAGTGAAAGCTCAGAGGGGGCCTGGAGGCTAGTGAGGGTGAGATGTAACAAGGAATCTTTTATAGGGCTGCAGCAAGACCACTGCTGGAGCATCACATCCCGGTTTGGGCACCGTGTCCTGGAGGAAGAGGTAGGGAGAGAGGTTGGAAGCCTTGAAAACTAACGGATGAGAAAAGAGCAAGAGAACTCGAGTAGTTCAGTCTAGACAAGGGGGAGAGAGAAATACAATAAATTGTGGTGACAACCAGGTAAGCCTGTTCTGGAAGCGGATGAGCAGTAGATCGGTTTAAACGACTCATAGCCACGCGCTTGTTAAGCGCTGGGGCAGATGACCTCGGTGATGGGACAGCCCAGGTAAAGAACAGGTTCCAGGGGCCAAGCGAAAGCTAAGCCCAGGGGAAGAGACGGCACAGCCCTGCCTGCCTTCTGCAGGCTCCCAGCTGCCTCAAGACACTGGCTCCATGCGTTGTGCCACCAGTGTGGCAGGGCTAGGTTCCACAGTGCTTGCCCCCACATCTCAGACACACCAGCACTTCCACCCCAGCCCAGCTCTCAGGACCCCCAGCAGCTGGTTGCAACTCAGCAGCTCCAGTCCAAGCAAGGCAGCTGGCAGTGCTTGTTGCACCCCTGCACCAGGGGGCTGGGGAGGTCAGCGCACAAGAAATAATACAAGGCAGTGCAGTAAGACCCCCTCAGTGGGAGGAGGCCTCACACACAGGTGTCAGGGTAGTCCTGCACTAGGACACTAGGGCTAGTGCCAGCGCCAGCCCCCTCCCCTCCCGGCATGTCCTACCCTACCATGCAGCAGGCTCTACTCCCCCTGCCCCAGGATGGGACTGGTGTAAAGAAGCAGGAACTCAGGGCACTTTAAAAAAAAAAAAAAAAAAAGAAGAAGTACTTTTATTAAAACTAACATGGTAAGACCGTCCTGGCCAAGCAGCGCCCACATTGCGCTGGGGATAACCGTACAAGTGAGGGGAGAGAAGCGATAGCCATGGGGAAGTACAAAAAAGGAGGCAGCAGCTATCGGATGCTGCAGGGGAAGGGTTGATAGAGTCGGCGGCGGCAGCTATCGGATGGTGCAGGGAATGGTTAGATCGAGTCGGCGGCGGCATGTGCAAGGCCAATTTGAGCACAGGCCCAGCCGCAGGCACGGGGGGCCAGCTGGCCCAGGCGGAGAAGCCAAGAGCCGCTGGCCATGGGGGATACGGGCTCCTAGCTCCACAGGGGATGGGTCCGTGCGTCTGCACGTCCAGAAGGCACCAGCAGCTTAAGGCAGAGAGCTACAGGTCGGAGAAGCAGTGGGTTCAGCCCTGCAAGGGTCTGGGACAACAGCCCCCCCGCGGGGTCTCCTGCACGGGGACCCAGCTACATGGGGCTGGCGTCCAGCTTCCACACACGTTGCTCCGTGCAAGGCACACGCGGGGCCCTCAGTCCTCGCCGCCCCCGTACATATCGGCCAGCTTCTTGAAGCGGCTGCCCCAGTCGTGCAGGTAGTCGTAGTCCTGGTCGCGGTCGGAGTTGGCGGAGTCGAGGGAGCTGAGCGAGGCGGCCTCAGAGCCGCTGCCCTCGTAGTCGAACACAAGCAGGGAGTCGTAGGGCGGCGCCGTGGGGTCCGTGTCGGCCGCCTTCAGGTTCTGGGGCCGGGAGGAGGCAGCAGGTGAGCATCTTCCTCCCTGCCCTGGTGCAGCCCGTCCCGTGTGGGCCTCGGAGGTGGCTCAAGCTCGGTGCCCGGAGACATCCCGACACCGAGCTTGAGTGGGGGCTGTAGAGCTCAGCTGGCAGAGACTGGAGCCCCCACCCTCATGAGACCAAGAGCTTTGGGGCAGGAGGACGTGGCCTTGGAGCCAGAGTAGTGCTTCTGCACCGAGCCCTGCACAGCACCCTCATCGTGGCACCAGGACCTGCCCCCGCAAGGCAGCCGAGCATGGGGCCCCAACTACACAGCACCGAGCCACGTCCTCAGCCAGGATGGAAGCACCCAGAAGACTCAACCCTTCGCCTCCAAATGCCACAAGACAACGCCTGGGTTGGGGGCTTGCCCTCCACTCCAGGATGGACCAGGCTCTGCAAGGACACAGCTGGCCCCAACAGCATGTCTCAGGCTCAGGCCAGCAGGCACGTACCCTACACCCACGCTTCTCACCTCGTCGATGAAGTTGCCGATCTCGTTGGGGTTGGCCGGGCGTGGCCGGTAGTGCGGGGCTGGCAACAGGGTGGGCGCCACGTCATTGCGGAGGATGACCTCGGGGCGGGCATCCAGGCCCCGGTGCAGCTGGCTGAGGTCGTAGTCCTGGGGGGTAGGTGCAGCATGGGGTCAGCGCCCAGAGCCCCATTACTCCCCTCCCGCCCTGCCCCAGCCCATGCCCACCTGGTCCTCCTCGCCCCCGCCCTCTTCTCCATAGTAGAAGATGTTGTCCCGCGTGTCGTCCTCCGGGAGCAGCAGGGGCTCCTTCCCTGACTTCCTCCTCCTCCGCACCAGGAGCAGCAGCAGCAGGATGACTGGGGAGACAGGGGGGCTCAGCCAGGCTCCCACCACCCCGTCTCCCAGCCAGGGCCGCACCAGGGCCCCTACACAAGGATGGAGGGGGCTCCAAGTTGCAGGAGGCCCCTTCTCTCCCAGCACAGAGCTGCGCTCCCTGGGAGAGGCTTTGCAAGGGGCCAGCCTGCGTGCAAGCCTGGGGACTCCCAGAGGGTCTGGCCCAGGCCACACACTCACCCAGCAGGACCAGAAGGGCTCCCAGGATGGCCAGGATGATGGGGACGCCCGAGAAAACCGCCTCTGTGTGAGGGCATCCCTCCTCCGTGTGCCCCTCGCACTCGCACACCTTGGCTTGCAGCACCGTCAGCTGGTCCTTGCCCTGGTTGTCCACCAGCCGCAGGAAGACCTTGTACACGTCCTGCTTCAGCGGCTCCGTCAGCCGCACAGTCACAGCATCCCCTGCGCCCAGACAGTGGTCAGCTGCTAGGTGCTGCCCCCCCTGGCTCCCAGGACCCGGCCCGCCTGCCCTGGGGCCAGGAGCCAGCTGCCCGGACCCTCCCGCGTAGGGTCACTGGTACCTTTACTGTTCATCTCCACTGCCCAGCTCGCTCCAGAGCCGTGGCTCAGCTCGGCCTGGAAGGGCCCGGTGTTGGGGGGCAGGTCCTTGTCCACGATGCTCAGGACCTGCGGCTCTGGGTTGCGATTGCACACGACAAAGTCACGCGGCTCCGGCTCTGGCCCGTTGTCGTTCACGTCCAGCAGGGTCAGGAGCAGGGTGCCCGTGCCGGTAGCGGGCGGCGTGCCTGGCAGGGGAGGAGGGTACTGTGGCACACTCCACTCCTGCAAGGGATGGGGCTGCGACTCCCCATCCCAGGCACCAGACTGGCATCCTCCGGGCAGCGCAGAGCAGAGATGCCCAGGCCCCCTGGATGCACAGATATCCCAGCCCCCACCCAGGCCTGTGGCCGATCTGGGAAAGGCCTGTCCCACCCCTCGCTGCACAGAAGTGCTTCACAAGCCCAGGATGAATCTCATGACAGCCCGGAGGGACCCAGCCACGGCACACGTGTCCCTCACATGGGGTGCCGGCGTCCGCGTGCTGCCCGGGGAACAAAGAGGCTTTTCACAGGCGGACGCTGGCAGTGGGATGCGTGCCCAGTGCTCTGCCTCCACGGCCCAGCTCTCACCATCATCCGCGGCCAGCACAATGGCCGTGTAGGTGCTGTCCTGCACGAACACCGACTCCCGGTCCAGGGGCTCCTTCACAGTCACGATGCCGTGGTCCGGGTCAATGGCCAGCCAGCCCGCGGGGTCGCTGCCGATGGAGTACCTGGAGGGAGGTGTCATCATGGGATGGGGACCATGGAGGTCCGTGTCCCAGTGCCAAGGGTGATGAGGGCTGGACACCCCTGCCCATCACAGACCCAGCTCCCCTCCGGCCCATTTTGCATGGGTCAGCAGAGCCATTCAGGCACTAAGCCGTGCTGCCAGCCCGTGCCCTGGCTTCCAGCCCAGAGTTGCTCACTTGATCTTCTGGCTCTGGGAGCTGTCGGGGTCCTGGGCAGCGTAGGTGGCGATGGTCTGGCCCACAGGCATGTCCTCTAGCACCTGGGCCATCTTCACGGGTGGGCTGAAGATGGGGGCCTCATTGACGTCCCGCACCGTCACCACCACTGTGGCTGTGGATGTCGGGAGCTTCACCATCAGGGGGTCCTCGTTGGCCACAGCCACATACAGGGTGAACTGCTGCTTGGCCTCATAGTCCAAGCCCTGGAGGGTTGAGAGGGCAGCAATGAGACCCACGGGGTCCCCATGCAGGTAGGCGCCGTGCCTGCGACTCGGCCTCGAGGGCACTGCCATTGCCCCCGTGGTCCCTGCCCTGTTCACACTTACCTTTGCAGTCTGCAAGATGCCCTCGTTGCTCTCGGGGTCGGTGGAGATGGAGAAGGCACCACCTTCGTTGCCGCGCACAATGGAGTACACGGCGCGCCAGGCCGACGTGCCCTTTGCATCCATGTCCATCACCGTCAGCCGCTGCACCTCGTACCCCGCCACGTTCTCCGGCACCTCTGCCGCATACTGCGTGGAGCAGCACTGGTGTCAGCACCCCCTGCCCCCCCCCGTAGCCCTACAGCAGGGGCAGCGCTGACCCCGTCAGCCCCTCCGCAGAGAGGCACCGCAGGGCTTGCATGGGCTGGGATGCCCAGGGATAAAGACGGGCCACGTACCATCTTGGGGTCAAACTCGGGGGCATTGTCGTTGATGTCGGCAATCTCTATCAGGGCTGTGGCGGTGGTGGTCAAGCCTTCTCCATCCATGTCAGCAGCCTGCACGGTCAGCGTGTACTCCCGCACCCTCTGGGGAGAGAGCATGCCATGGGTGCCAGACTGGGGCAGCACCCCGTCACACCTCTTCCCATCCCCCCCCAGGAGCTGCAAGGGAGAGGCTAGCACGTGCACCAGGACAGATACCCCAGCCCCAATGCACTGCCCTCTCAGGGCACCCAGGGACCAGTGCAGCCCTCCAGCTGGGGCAGGAGAGACTGGCAGGAGCCCCACGTGGCTAGGAGCCAGGCCCTGCTCTGTACACGCTGCGGCCACATCATCGTTGCAGTCCCTCGGGAACTCTGCACCTGCCCCAGCTTTGCCACCACGCTCCCGGCACCGGCCCCCGCTCACCTCCCTGTCCAGCCCGCTGGCGATCACACTGATCACGCCCGTGGCCCCGTTGATGGTGAACATCTGGGCGTGGGGCTCCAGGGGCTCCTGGCTCAGGATGGAGTACTTGATGACCCCATTGTAGGTCTCCACGGCATCATCTGCATCCGTGGCGTTCACCTGCATCACGGGGGTTCCTGCCAGGGAAGCACAGGGCGGGAGGCTGCAGCTGGCATCCCCTGCTCTGCCCGTGGGGAGAGGCCAGGTGGGACGTGGGCCTGCGCAGGGGGCTCAGCTTTCAGATGCAGGCGGAAGAGACAAGGAGCCAGCACTGGCCCCCTTCCAGCAGTTGCAGAGCCACGGGCCTGTGCTCTCTGCCACACCATGGCACGGGTGCATTAAGCTGGCACCAGACCCCAGTAGCTTGTGGGACCAAGCTGGCTCCCCAGCTGGACTGCATTTAATAGAAACATAGACATGAAGGGCTGGACAGGACTTCAAAAAGATAGAGTCCAACCCCCCTGCTCCGAGCAGAAATATTTCTGAGATCAAATGATCCCAGCAAGGTGTCTGTCCTTTTGGAGAGACGGTCTAGTTTGGGGACTGCACCCCCTCCTTGGGAAGTCAATTCTCGATTCTGGTCGCCCTTACTGTAAAGAAGCTCTTTACATCCAGCCTGAAGCCAGCCTCTACCAGCTTATGGCCATTGCTCCTTGCCCCACCTTGGGCATCCTAGGGAACAGTTTCTCCCAGCACCAGATATTCACCCCTTACATACTTCTAGATGGTCACCAAGTCCCCCTTAGTCTTCTCTTCCCAGGCTGAATAGTCCCCCATCCCTTAGTCTTTCCTCATAAGGTTTGTCCTCCAGGCCCTTCATCATCCTTGTGGCTCTTCTCCAGGCCCCTTCAAGATGCTCCACGTATCTTTTTTTGAAGTGCAGCACCCAGAACTGGGCACAGTCCTGCAGCTGGGCTCTCACCAGTGCCAAGGAGAGGGGAAATATTCCTTCCTTAGCATACTGGGATGCATTAGCCAGTGCATCATGAGGTGGGCTATTAGCGCTGTAGACTATAGCGGCGCACTGGCAGCTCGTGTTCATCTTGTGATCGACCATAATCCCAAGGTCCCTTTCAGCCATCGTGCTGGGCAGGACATCTCCTCTTAACCCATATTCATGTTGCTGGTTACTTCTCCCCACATGAAGCACTCTGCATTTGTCCTTACTGAGTTGTATCTGGGTCCACTCTGCACACCTTTCCAGCTTGTCCAGGTCTACTTGGACCCACATCCTCCCCGCCCCCAGTGCGACTGCTTTTCCCCATAACTTACTATCAACCGCAAGCCTGGCCAGTGTGCTTTCCACAGCCATTTTTAAATTATTGGTAACAAAAATGTTGAACAGCACGAGGCCAAGAACCAAACCCTGCGGGACGCCGCTGACCGAGGTTGAGATGAGGTTGGTCAGACACAGCCTACTCACAACGAAAGCATTTTGGCTATCCTTCAGCATCACGCCTTCATTTCAGCTGACTGAGATGCTTGCAATGCAAGCTGTGCATCAGGCATTGAAGTCCCTGGCTGGTGGGGCTGAGCCAGTCCGGACCCAGTCCCATCCCATCAAGGGATGCTGGGGCAGTCTGGTCAGAAAGCCTGGACCCGAGGGGCGCAGGTTGTTCCCCACCTCACCTGGCAGGGTGCCTTCCTGGACAGAGCCCTTGAAGACCTCCTGGGTGAACTGGGGCTTGTTGTCGTTCTGGTCGGTCACTGTGATGATAATGTCCATCGGCTCCTCCACCGGCTTGCCGTTCTCAGACACCGCGTGGGAGGAGAGCTGGAGGCAGACGAGATGGCTCAGGGCACTGACCCGAGACCCCTCTTCCCCCCACAAAACCAATACATCTCTGCTCAGCCCTGGCCAGTGACTTACATGGTATTTGTCAATGTTCTCCCTGTCCAGGGGCTGCGTCACCTTCATCCAGCCCGTCTCCTTCTCGATGATGAAGATGCCCTCAGGGGGCTTGTCCGCACCCGTCCCCGTGATGCTGTAGAAGATCTTGGTTTCCTTGTCCCTGTTGGATTTGATCTGGGGGAAGCCAAGCAGATGTCAGTGCCAGCAACAAGGACAGAGTCCCTCCCGCAGCTGTCGGTAGGGCCCTGCAAGTGTGCAGCTGGCGCTGTGCCCCATGGAGACCGTAGGAAGGGACTCCAGATCACATTTAGTCCAACCCCCCACTCAAAGCAGGGTTAGTCCCAACTACATCATTCCAGCCAAGGCTTTGTCTGCCCAGGTCTTCAAAACCTCCAAGGATGGGGACTGCACCACCTCTGGGTAACCCCTTCCAGTGCTTTGCCACCCTTTTAGTGAGAAAGGTTTTCCCAATACCCAACCTCGGCTTTCCTTGCTGCAGCTTGAGCCCATTACTCCTTGTCCTGTCATCTGCCCCAACTGAGGAGGTTGGAGCTGGGCTGTTCTTAGACCCACCCTTTGGGGAGTTGAAGGTTGCTATTCAGTCCCCCATTTTCTCTTCTCCAGACTAAATCAGCCCATGTCCCTCAGCCTCTCACCAGTCCTGTCCCCCAGCCCCCAAAACATTTTCATTGCCTTCCACTGGACTCTCTCCAACTTACCCACATCCTCTGTGTAGTGGGGGGGGTGAAGGAAGGAAATGATCTCTTCCTCAGCCTGCTGGCCATGCTCCCACTAATGCAGCCCAGGATGCCATTAGCTTTCTTGGCAGCAAGAACACACTGCTGGCTCATATTCAGCTTGTCCACTGTAACCCCCAGGCCCTTTTCTGCAGAGCTGCCACTCAGCCAGTCACCCCCAGCCTGCACTGGTGCACGGGACGGTTTCATCCCAAGTGCAGGACTTTGCTCTAGTCCTTGTTGAACCTCATGAGGTTCCTTTTGGCTCGATCCTCCAATTTGTCTCCATCTTTCTAAATCCCAGCTCAGCCTTCCAGCATATCTACTACTCCCATCAGTTTAGCATTATCTGCAAACTTGATGAAGCTGCTGAACAAAGAGTGCACCCTCAGCAACAGCCTGGAAGATGGCATAACCTGCTCCAGGACCAACCCCTGGGACACTCCACTTGAAGCCAGCTGCCAACTAGACATTGATTGCTACCCTTAGAAGACTAGCTGGATTGCCAGGCTCAGTCTACACAAGGTGCCGCTACAGAAGGAGTCTGGCCTAGAGCATGAGGCTCATTAGAGCCAGGCAGCACCCAGAGGCGCTGGCACCCTCCTGCCCCAACCCCACCGTACCTGCACCAGGGTCTTGGGGAATGGACCGCGCTCGTTCTCAGGGACTCGGATTGGAGGGACGACCCAGTCCCTCTTCTGCCTCTTCAAGCCAGGCCTGGACTGTGGGAAGAGCCGCACCTCCGCTTGCTCACTTGGGGCAGGCTCCTGCCGAGACAGAGGGGTTAGAGACAGGCAGGCGTGCACAGGGCATTGGTGGCATCTCTTGTCAGCCCTCTAATGCTGCTGCCTGTGGGCAGGGCTGGGGACCAACCAAGCCCCTGGCAGCCCACCCCATTAGGAGCAGCAATGCCAAGGCTGCCCTGCCTCCCCCTGAGGCCCAGTGGTTGCCAGAGGCAGTCCTCCATGCACCCCAGGGGCTGGTGTTACCTGCCAGGAGCGGTGCTGCAGGCTGTGCATGGGAACCAAGGCTGGGGTTTCCTTGCCAGCAGAGTCCCAAGAGCGCACGACCGTCCCCGGTAGCATCCGCAAGCTGGTGTCTGTGGGCTCGAATGGCACCAGCTGCCATCCTGCATTGTCCTGGGACTGCACTGGGGTGGGGAAGATGCAGGCGTTAGCCCCAGCTGAGAGCAATTGCAGCTGTTGCAGCCCCCCCCAGCTTGCAAGAGACTCCCCTGCCGGCCCTGGGCTCATGGACAGGAGCAAGGAGATGTGCCGGGCAAGGCTTAGCCTGGCTGGATATGGTTCACCTGCTGCCAGGCATTTGCTATTCAATTAAGCTGGCAGCAGCACCTGCTCAGGGGGTGGGGGTGGGAAGCGGATTATCCATTTACAGATCTGCAAAGCCTGCCCAGACCACAGCCTCTCCCCAACCCTGCCTATTTGTGGCCCATGCCAAAAATAAATAAATAAAAAGTCACCAGCTGGATCCCAGCCAGGAGTTGGCAGAGCTTGGGGTCCATCTCCCCGGGCAGCAGAGCTACAGGGCAGAGGGTCCCCAGCCACCGCCTGCCCAGAGCCAAGCTGAGCCACTGCCTCATTTGGGCAGGGGCCTGTCCCCGACCTCCACCTCGGTGCGGGGGCAGGAAGCCCCGTGACCAAGCCATGGGCCGGTACAGGTGATCCTTGGTGGTAGATGCCCATGTATGAGCAGGAGCAGTGCCAGGAAGCCTACTGGCTTGGGGACCTGCCCCAGGCTAGAGACCTAGGCTCTCTGCTTCATGACTCACCCCGGCTTCCTAGACAGGGATGAGTCCTGGCCCCTGGTATGCATGTTGTTACAGGGCCCCTGATCCAGAGCCAGCTCACTTCCCGCTCCTCCCTTGCTACCTCCAGAGCTGGCCCAATCCATCATTAATCCCATCGTGCCCACAGCCCCCACGCACCACCCATGGCACTGCTGGACTGCAGCCCGTGGCTTGCACAGCGCAGCAGAAAGCTGTCGAGTAGCAACTAGCTGCTCTGCCAAGGTCCCGCATGCCCAGGCCCATCTCACAACCCTGACAGGTACAAGTACCTTGAGACACTAATCCTCAGCACAGCCCACACCAAGCCCTGCTTCCCAGGGCTGCTCTCATGAGCCCAGGCACCTGGAAGTCCCAGGCCCAGAGCCCGCTCGGGTCTCCCATGGGTGCCAGGACTGGCTGCTCACGCTTGCTGGGCTGGCACTAGCCTCTGATGCAGCAGGATGGGGCGTGCTCCGTGGGTCAGGGTCTCACCCTGGGATTTTAAAAGCCCAGATAAGGGAGCCGGTCTGAGCCACCCCAAGCTCCCACCATCCAAGCTCCAGGTCGGGGGTGGGCACTGCCTGGCCTAGCAGCCAGCCCTCCTGGTGCCCCAGCCAGCACCAGACAAAAGGCTCTGGCAAGTGCCCAGGACAGGGCTCCCCCACACAATCCTTGTCCTTTAACGGCCGTGCCAGAAGCTTCCCTGCCCCCTGTGCTGGAGTGGATTTGCCGGCGTCAGCACCCGCCGCGACCACTGCACCGGAAAGAGCTGCAGGCTGGCGAGCAGGGGGCTCGAGGGGTAGCAGGAGGTGGTGGGGGCACTTGATCACAGCCGGCACACACACAACTCCGGGGCAAGCACAGCTGCCCCGTGCTGGGTACAGCCCCACTCCAGCCAGCAGGGAAGAGCTGTGGCACAGCACCCAGCCCCAGCCATCCTGGCTGCTCCTTAGCACACGCTCCCCTCCCAGGGTCACAGGCCGTGGCTAATGCACCACCCGCTCTAGGATGGCGAGAGCGGATGGGCACAGCCTGCGTGGAGCAAACCGAGTCCGCTGCACAGCCCCCGCGCTCGGGTCAGCCCATCCCGGCTGCCTGGAAGCACTTAGGGCCGAGGGCGTGCGGAGCTCCGCAGCCATTAGCGAGGCCTAGATCCCTGCAGCCGCGGTTGCTGGAAATAGCTGCATCCCCCAGGATGCGGCCGGTGTAAACAAGGGCTGGCGACGCAGGGAAGCACCAGGCAGCTGCTCATGCTCCTGGACGGGCTGGCCCAGCCATCACGCAGGTTCCCGGACCTCGTCCACCTGGGGCCAGTCCGGCCCCATGCAGCTCCTAGATCCCACCCAGAGCTAGCACAGTCCCCCCAACTCAGCACAAGCCCTGTGCTCCTTGCGAGGGGTTAGGCCTCCGGCCTCGCTACCCCAGTGAGCGGCTTGGGGATCATGTATCCGATCTGGGCTGCTCTCAGCCTGGGGAATCTTGCCAGCGCTCTCTGTGCTACTCCAAGGTACTCGATCCCCCTCCACCTGCCTGCTTTCAGCACCGTGGCCCTGCCCCAAGGAGTAACCTGAAGCCAGGCGAGCTGCGCAAGGGGGTGAGGGGCTGCTCCTTCCCGGCCCCTCCCCTGCCACCAGGTCTGGAATGTGCAGCCGGCCGCACCTCGGACTCGAAGGTCAGGCTGCCCAAGAGGCCCAGGGAGCAGGAGGGGAACAAGCAACTCCCCCATCCCACAGCGCACGAAGGCCTGGGCACCAGTGCCAGCCCCAGTGGGGCAGCTGCTCTTCAAGGAGGGGAGCAGGGGGCTGGCAGGGCAGCTCTGGGACCCACAAGCTACCAGGGCTCTAGCCACCGCTCAGCCTGCAGGCGACCCCCTGCCCCCAGCCTCCAGCCTGTCCCAGGGGCAGCGGCTCCACCCTCCCACCCACACTGTTGCAGAGGAGGGGGGCCGAGCCCGGGCAGGACGGAGCCAGACAGACGAGCCTCTGTTCCCGGCACAATGTGGGGCTGTGCCAAGTGAAACCATTAGGATCCGCTCGGCTGGGCACCTGACCCACGCTCCTGGAGCCGGTGGACAGGGGCATGAGGCAGCAGGACAGGGCAGGGCACGGG